TTGTCTTATATATGTTTTTGAAAAAACTTAAATAGTGACCCTCGTAATAATAATATATTTAAATTTTAAGGATCGTTACGTGGCCATGACTTGTGTTGAACTAAATGATTTATTGATGTCGCAATGGACCGCCGATGACTAAATGAATACATTTCGCCGGTATGCACGACTTATGTCTAACGCTGAGTTCTTGCCTCATGATGGAGGTGAGAGACTCAGAGATAGCTGGCTTGACATCGTCCAGCGAATGGGTAGGCCGTTTTGAATTTTGGAGTGTGTTCTTTTTTTTTCGTTCTCATAAAGAACGATAAAATTTCTGCCTAAAACGATAAAAAACTAAAAATCACAACGCTTCTTTGTTCTATTTTCAAAGCAAGATTCCACGGTAATGATAACCTCCGCGATCATATGATCAAGACTGTTCTTGATGCATAGACCGAAAAAAGAAGAAGATTGACATCATCTCTCTCGCATCGAAAGCTGCCCAAGGTCGATTGCCTCAAATCGAGTAAGTAAACTCATTACGATAATTAAAACTTTCGAAAATTAATCCGATCATTTCTTTATTTCAGCTGGAGGTCTTCCAGACCTTTGTGAAGAAGGAGTTTTCAATCTCGACGATTTATTGATGACGCAAGAGCACATATGGGCAAGGGGGGGGGGAAACTTTTCATATTTCTGGTTTGATTTTTTTGTAGCACGAAATTCCAAAAGGGGTGACATTCCTAGAGTAATTTTGGGCGCTCTATCGATCTGCATCATTAATTTTTTCATCCGACCCCCCTTCCCCCTTTTTGGGGGGGCTATGTTTATTTTTGTACCCCCAAAATATATATAGACTTCCATTTCAGTCCCAAGATGTAAAACACCACATGAACCTTCACCCCTACCTAGGGTACTTTTCAGTCCTTTATCGATTGGCACCATTGGTTTTGACCCCCTCTCGTACCCTTCCCCCCCAGGGGGGTGCTCCGGTTTGACTCTTCGGACCCATATTTAAGGTCTTTGGAGTGGAAAAACACATATGACCCTTCACCCATACCCGGGGTATTTTTCAGTGCTCTATCGATTGGCATCATTCGTTTTTTGACCCAAACCCCTATATACACCCCGTCTATCTTTACCCAAACTGGTTCTTTACCGCAATTTAATGCTCGGACCAAAAAATTATGCACTATAATGCACTATAATGCACTATAATGTTGTCCAGAATGATGAGAGAAATTTTTTGGGTCACCTGCCCTCCAAGTCCCCCCACCCCCCAGGGGGGTCGGGGGTCAAAAACCCCCAAGGTGTGATTTTTTTGACCTGAAACCCCGAAATTCGGACTCAGCGTGCCAAAATACCTTAGAATTGATATTTTTCTCATCCACTATTGTGTCTAGCCCCAGTGCCCTCCATTTGGGGTCAAATCCTTCAAAGTCGATTTTTCACTTTTTCGGTCCGGAATTTTGTACCAAAATGTATGACCTACTATAGCTTATTTTTTGCGCACATTTCATTTTTGCCATTGGGCACCCCCTCCCATCACCCCCAATGGGGGTCCCCCTACAAAATTCATGAAAATTTCCAAAAGTACCCCCAAAATAAGGGCCAAACCCTCTCCAAACCCAAAACTAATTACATATTCGGATTTCTTGAGAAAAACTACGTTTAGACACCAAGCATTGTATTCTCTCTAAACCCCCCTTAACACTATTTTGGGGGGTTCTAAAGCCGTTAAGCCAAAAATGTGCTTCGTCACTGAGGATGATTTTTTTAAAACACACACTGAATTTAAAAAAAAAAAACCATTTAAAAAGAAAGCCTTATTTTTGCGATTTGTAGTCATTTTATATTTAAAAAATTCAATTTTGTTCCAAAATGTGGTCATTTTTGACCAAAAAATATCAATTTTGACGCCAGATTTGGATTCTTCGTACCCAAAACAATGATGAACAATTAATTTTTTTTTCAAACACCGATTATCGATTTTCGATTTCCGACAGTGATGGTTTTTTCCTATCTGAATAGCGCTAGCTATTCGCAGCGTTTGAACAGCATTGCTGCCCAGATGCTGAATCGAAGCGGTTGCCGCACGCGTTTTGTACCACACAACATATTGTCATATAGTCTAAGTAACCAGTGAGCTCACAGAGTATGATACACTAATACCATAGTCAGTAACAAACGCATGTCGAACAGAGAATGAACGCGAACGTATATGCTCTGTGTGGTACAAACGAAGTGTGTTGCGCGTGCGGCAACCGCTACGATTCAGCATCTGGGCAGCAATGCTGTACAGGCGCTGCGAATAGCTAGCGCTATTCAGATAGGAAAAAACCATCACTGATTTCCGAAGAGAATCGTTTTTTGAAAAAAATGTTTGGGACAAAAACTAATCTAGAGAAACCAAACATACCTTCGTAATCAGGGGACCAAGGTGGATCACACCCACTATGTCATTGGTCTAGCACTGACCTGCCCGAACACAGTGTAATAAATGATGCTTCAGAGCCAAAAAGAATAAGTGAGCTGTGTATCGAAATTTGTTTTATGAATTTGTTGTTAGTCTGCCGATCCGACCGACCGTCCGACAATTTTATGTCACTTGTTAACCTTGTTGTTTGTGATATTGCATTTCACTCTTTTCATTCGAGAATATGGTGATACAATTACCGACCGTCCGACCGAATGATATGTAAAAAACTAAAATGTATGGTATGTCATAAAATATACATGACTGGTCCGACCGTCCGAGCACTTATGTCATTCAAGTTTTTTTTGGTATTATGTCCGACCGACCGTCCGAGCTCTTATGTCCGACCGAGCACTTATGTCACTGAGCCCCATACAGCCAACTACTTTTTGGCCTAAAATCAAAATCCGGTGGAATTTGGCTGATTGGTGGACTTTCAGGATTTGGCCTGGTTTCGTCACTTCTTCGTTGTCACCATAAAATGTGTAACGACGGTTTGGATTATTCTAAAAGAAGTAGATGTATACTTGCTATTAAGTTCTCAATCCGTTATATTATATTGACGTAATATATTGAATATAACAATTACTTACACATTCAGCGAACAAAGACGGATTCGCCCGGCCAATGTATGAAGAAACATAAAATGGGTTTTGATGGCTTGCTAATGAAGAAAAAGAACACACAGAGAAGTAATACAATGAAAACTAGATGGCTTGTCGTATGAAATTTGGAACTAGTTGACACTCCGTATGAAATTGTATTCGTCCATCTAATTCCATACCAAACATCATTTTTGTGTATTCTCTTTTGTGCGGCTCTTCTTCGTTTATGCTTACAAAAGCGATATTTTGAAATTATTATTTTGGAATTAGATGGAAAAATACAATTTTATACGGAGTGTCAACTAGTTCCGAATTTAATACGACAAGCCATCTAGTTTTCATTGTATAATTTATTTGTGTGAAGTTGATGTGTTTTTAGAAGCGGCTCCCGCATGGCCCGCTATGGCAATTTGGTTCATTACCTTTGACCAATTCCTTCCCGAATGAAAGATGGAGTGCGTAGTTTGAATTGCGCATGTAGCGTATAATCCATTCGAGGTTGACATAAGAGATAGTGCCATAATTATCGCTTTGGAATATATTGTCGGTCGGCACCAAAGAGATGTAATGGCAAAACATTTGAGCGCAAAATTGCCATGCGTGGACATCTCGGTTCAAGAGTACCAACAATAGGGCACGTCTGTCGATTAAGGTACGGTCGATCGTGGTCGATACTTCGGGAGTGTTGGTTCCCTCCTTCCATCCATGATTCCAATCGTTTGAACCAATCATCTGACTTTCAAATTGGCAAAAACCTGCCGCACAGTGTTGCGCCAAGTATTTGTCCCAGAAGCTCATGTCAAAACAGAATGCTCCTAAATAATGTTAATTTTTAGTTTTATATAACATAGAAGTTAGTGTATAAACGGTATTTATTTTAATGAATTTACCGCTTGTCAAGTACCAGTGGTATTCTGGTGCAGAGGCATCGAATGAACGCCGCATGTGTTCAAGCCTTGAACTTCAAGGAATCCTTGGCCGTATCTTTGCGATAAGACCACGCCGACAAGTTGTGTGGCGGCTGATGTAAATGTGGGATAGAATATGGAGGGTGTTTTTTCAGCCTAACCAGAAGTTATTGTATAATTAGCACTAATTTCTTATTCTTTAACCTTTTTCAATTATAACTTACAATGCTCATCATTACATCTTATGTGTGAACATGGCGCCCTCACGACCGTGCATCGACATTTGCACTTCAAGCTTCTTGCGTGAGAGCACAAGGTCGTCAAGCAGGTCTTGATTTTGACGCTGAATTCGGAGTGGTTGTGCTCGTGTCCCTTCTGCCAACTGGCGGTCGGCTGCCTCTTTGCGTTGTTCCAACGAACGGTAGCGCACACAAAAAGAAACCCGGTCCTAAACCGATGTCACTTGAGCAAAAACGCGCGAACGCCGAACGCAAAGAACGGGTGAAACAACGAAAATATGAAAAAGCTCCGCGCGTCTGGAATTTCCAGAAGAAAAAAGTAGGTCAGGGCGATGATGTTCAACCGGGAAATGAAATGGAATCAGACAATTTGCTGGGGCAACAGTTGTTGCAACAGTTAGGTTCATTTGGGGAAGATGGTGGCTACGATATCAACAACGACGACGATGATGACGACAACATGCTATTCCAACAACCTGGCGGTGATGATGATGTAATTATTTTTTATATTATTTTATATATTATATATTTAAATACGTAGGCGACTATTTAAGTTTCTTCAATATGTATGTTTTAGTA